ACACACACACACACACACACACACACACACACACACACACACACACACACAAACACACACAGAGCAGTCTTACTGATAGAAATGTCTTTAGGCCTTTCACAAAGGGGTGGGGGGATATTAATATATTCTAATGCAAAGTAGAATTGTAAATGGGTTGAATTATCAATGTTATGCTCATACTGTGCTGGAACGACATAGGGGGAACTGCTGCATTTTTTTTCCTCAACCTTACTATTGTCATTTTCCCTCAACTTCTTCTGTATGTTTGTCACTCTCTTGTGAACTGCTATTTCAGGGGGTGCCTTGAAAGTCGAAGCAGACTTTGTGCTGTTGAAGCTAGAGAGGTGTGCAGAGTAAGCCTGATTCCCTGTTTGGACTTCTCTGTTGACATCAACCCCATGGCGCTCATATTATGACCTTATGCACTTGAGAGCATCGTAAAATCTTACTAAAACAATAACGCATCACACTGTCAAGCAAGGAAACAGTTTTTTTGTTAGTGACGACAACAAGCAAGATAGACGGAGGAAAAAAACAAAAAACAATGCCAGCAGTAACTGTTCAAGGCGTATCGCAATAGAACCCTCTGGCCCATTGTTGGGTATCATGTCAGAGCTCATCCTCTGTTTCGGTGAAATCTATTTATTTATTTATTTTTATTTTTATTTTCAAAAATTTATTTATGTATTCATACATTTATTTATTTATTTATTTATTTATATTCGTTTTGTTTTGATTTGTTGTGGGTTGGTTTGGTTTGGGGGTTTTCTCTTGAGGGGGGGGGGGTGAGGAGAGGTGCGGGAGGTGGCTTTAATTTTGCATATTTTACTTGGTTGGAGAATAGGCATCCTTGCAGGCAGTACAATGCCATACTTGGCGGCCCTCGTAAATACCTTGGGGGTTTTTTAAAACAGTTTATATCGTTTCTTTTGTCATTATATTTCATTAACCTCATTTTTATTTACATTTTAGGGTGCGTGGAGGAGGGGGCGAAAAAAAGTTTGCCTGCAAGAGGGGGGTGGGGGGGGATGAGACTGCCTGAAATGGAACAGCACCTTCCAAGAACTAGAGTATAGAAGAAAACAAATTGAACGAAAATGAAGGGTGTAGTTGGGATGGTTAAAATTAAGGGTTTGATCAATCTCTTTAACCCTATCCGTACGTCGTGTTTTACTATCGTATCCATACGACGTGGGGAACTCTGTGCCACCACTTAACCCTATCCGTACGTCGTGTTTT